AAGCCCTATCTCCATCCACAAACTCGTAAGCAAAATATTAGGGATATTGACGACCATGTAACCTTGTGAGTTCTTTATTGGGATGAGTCTTTTACTACTCTCTTATGTAACTGCTAATTGTGGAAGAGAGTTCTTGTTTTTGACGACACTGTGATCAATCTCTTATTTTGTAAGGTGGATGTTTTTCCTAATACATCAAAGGAGTAACTAATTGACATTGTTCAAAGACACTTCATATCTCAGGTAACATTACATGTTCTTCAAAAGGGTAAAGAAGCTAACACCTATGTTTCTGAACTTGTCTTTTCTCTGGTTCACAGCAAATGGATGAGCTTCAGGTGATTGTAGGGGATTCGTTCAAGCTGCAAAAGGAATGAAGAAAGCTCTATAAGGCATAAGCATAGATTACCACTAGATTGCTATGGTGAGTGACAATGTGTTTGAGTTAAGCTGCGTTAGAAGCTAGCTCTGATAAGATTAAAAGTATTTATCATCAGCTCCTTTCTTTACTGTAATAGGATTTAGCTACTTCCGCATGTCTTTTATTTATGTATTGAAGAAACTGAACTAAGTTACAATAACTGAACAAAACTGAACAAAACGTTTGTGAGATGTTGTAATCTTCAAGGTAAGTTGATGAATTCGGGTTTTGTAGGTTAGTCATTCTGATTTTCTTGTAGATGTAAGCAAGTCTCTGCTTTGAATTAAAAGACTTAAACAAGTCTCTGATTTTCTTGTAGGCGTAAACAAGTCTCTGATTCTTGTAGTACGTAAACCTTTGAATATTTTTGTTGTTTGGTTCATTATGATTTTGTTGTTTGGTTCATTATGATTTGGTTGTATGGTTCATTGAATATATTTGTTGGTTGATCATTGAATTTATATATAAAAAAAAGTTATGTTTTTATTCTTTAGAACCATTAATGAGTATTACCATTAAACATACAAAAATTACAAAATCATTAATGAGCCTCAAAGATTAAAAACTATTAAACTTAATACTAAATTAATCGGAAACAACGCAATTACGACAATTGTTTCACCAACAAATATGACACGGAACAAGAACTTGTCCTTTTTAACTTGTCCGTTTCACCAACAAATATTACCCTCAAAGTCTCTGGAGGCTGACCAATGAGAAATAAGCACCCGTGGGACCTTCGGCCAACAAGGACGAGTGTGTCCCACATTCGATGACTTTCCCTTTGTCCAAAACCGCGATCGCGTCACACTTCTGAATCGTGCTCAGTCTATGTGCGATCGCCACAGTCGTCCTCCCAACCATCACACGCTCGAGCGCGTCTTGCACCACACGCTCCGACTGGCTGTCTAAAGCGCTCGTCGCTTCATCGAGGAGCAACACCGACGGATTCTTCAGCACCGCTCTTGCGATTGCGATCCTCTGTNTTTGTCCACCCGACANTTGNANTCCTCTGTCNCCGCAGTATGTGTCATAACCATCAGAGAGTGATGTAATGAAATCATGAGCGTTCGCTGCCTTGGCCGCTTCGATTATCTCCGTCTCGTCGATCTTGTCAAATGCTCCTCCGTACATGATGTTGTCTCGGATCGTCCCGGCGAACAACGTTGGCTCTTGGCTAACTAGA